CGTCGTCAGTCCAACAGCAACTTCGGACCCACTGCAGCAAACTCCGTGTCCTTCGTGTACTGCAGCCGGTCCAGGGCGCGGCGGATGGCAGCAGCGACGAGCGCGAAATTCTCGTCATCGTCCTCCAGCTTGAAGTCGCCGTGCATCCCCGCAATGTTGACGGGGATGGCCTGCATGCACATGCGCGCAGCTGCTGGTGGCTCTGCAGAATCTTGCTTGGCAGTGATGCTGTCGCTGTCGTTGCCGCTGCTCTGGCTCGTGCTGTGAACACCACCATCACCACCACCACCAACATCGCTCGCCTCCTCCCCAGACTGAACATCATCACTACCACTGTCGTTGCTGCTGGCGGTGCTGCGCTCACTGCAAGTGCTTGAGTTGACATCGTTGCTGTTGGCGGTGCTGTGCTCACTGCAAGTACTGGTGTTGGTGTCACTGGCGTGTGCAGAGGCAGCGCGTTCGTGGGCGTCATGCACACGTTCACCACCGTCTTCGCCCTCATCGAAGAAGCGGTGCATGTAGAAGTTGAGGTCGTATGAACCACCATCTAACATGACGGCGTCGCAGTACGCCTCCATGAGCTCGCTGGTGCACTCTTCTGCCAGCGCAGCCGCCTGCTCACGTGTGACACCTGTGACGGTCAGCACGGTGGGTGATGTCTGCAGGGTGCAGGTGATGTTGCTGGGGTCGCTCTGCGCAATGCGCGCCAAAACGGGCGGGCGCCGCACGCAATACTGTCCGCTCCCATGCTCAACGGTGTTGTCGTCGCTGATTTTGTCGAAGGAGAGAACGTGTGTTGTCGAGCTCGTTTGGTGATGCATGCACCTGGTGCGCACACCCTCTCCGTAGGCAACAAACATGCCGCGATTTGGGTGCTTTGGGCTGCTGCTTGCCATGCTTGTGCTGTTTGCTGTGCTTGTGCTTGCTGCGTCGCCTGCATCTTTGCCCATGTCGTCGTGGTGTTGAGTTTGGGGAGGGCTACGCTGGGCCGGGACGGCGTCGCCTGCTTGTGTCTGGTGTTGTTGTTCTTCGTGCATGCTGCTGTTGTTGGCTGTGTTGACGTGTGTGTGTGTGTGCTTGCGTGCTTGCGTGTGTATACGTGTGTGTGTTTGTGTGTGTATGTGTGTGTGTGTGTGTGTGTGTGTGTGAGTCATCCATTGCCCGACAAAGGTTTGCGTAGCCATGTCCTGGTAGTTTTTTTATTTTGTGTTGGTGAGGCTGAAATGTGAGGGGGGCCAGATAG